GAGACATTACAGTGCATTGTGAGCTCCATAACAGTATGGACCAATTCAATTTTAGTTTATTATTATAACTCCAGTGCCTAACATAGATTGTTACACAATGTATGCTCAATGAGTATTGTGCAACAAATTAGTGAATGGTTATGTGGTTATTTTGATATTTTTTTTTTAGTTTTTTGCTTTAGAGCATATGAACTCACTGGAGAGAGCCAGAGAAAGAGAAAGAAAGAAAGAAGGAAAATGAGAACTCACCTCTTGGGGGGGATGGTCATGCCACAATCCCTTCTCTTTCATTCTCCTCTCTGGATTTTGGGCATGCATGCACATGTACCCAGTGTGATTTTCAAATCTCTGGTCCGGGACTGAAACCATGGTCAACCATGTGGGATAAAGCTGCTTTCACTTCCACACAACCTGCTGGCCCAAGAATGTTCTCTTCTTTTACATTCTCTTAAGATAAATTTAAGGTCCAGACCAATAGTTGGCACAATGGCTATGTCGCTGGATTCCCATGTAGTTGACCGTGGTTTGCGTCCCAGACCCGGTGGCTTAAAACTCACGCTGGGCCCATGTGTGTGTGTGCCAAAGATCCCGAAAGGAGAATGGAGGAGAAGGGATTGCAATGTGCCCACTCCCCTTGGGGGGTGATTTCTCGCTTTCTTTCTCTCTGTCTCTTTCTATCTTTCTGGTGAGCACACGTACCCTATAGCACACAAAAATAAATAAATAAATAAATTTAAGGCAACACGTCAGTGGTAGTTTAAACCAATTTTTGATGATCTGAGATAATTGGTACACATTGATCTAAAAATCTCTTGCAGCACTTTGATTCTATGATTTGATTCTTCCATTTTTAAAATAGAGTAGGCTTTTATAAAAAGAATTATTTATTTAATTTTATTTATTTATTCATTTATTTTAATTTGACCAGAGATATATAAATAGAGAGAGAGAGAGGAAGTGAGAAAGCAAGCCACCAGCTCCAGAACTCAAACCATACTCAGCCATGTGTGAGTGTCCAGCACCACCATGCCACCTGCTGGTCCTGGCTTTTTTTTTTTTTTTTTTTTTTTAAGGGGTTTTTTTAAATGGGGAAAGGGAAAAGGGATTTTTGAAACTGGGAAAGTGCAATCATCAGAGAGAGACAGAAAGCAAGAAAGAAATCACCTTCTTGCCCAGGGGGCATGAACACACTCTCCTCCATTCTTCTCCTAGGATTTGGGGCATGCACACACGCACACACCCAGTGTGAGTTTTAAGCCACTGGGTCCAGAATTTGAACCATGGTCAAATAGTGGGAGTCTAGTGATGTAACCATTATGCCATCTGCTGGTCCCAGTAATAGGAGTTTTCAGAAGATTCTATTAGGTTAACCAGATTTTTCTATATAATATATATTCCTTGTTGATGTCTGTGAGAGACAATCACAGTACCTCTCTCTGGTGTTAAGGTATGCTTAGTGATCCCTTTGATTACTAAGATAATGTTCGATATTCCATTCTGAACATGGCCAGGTTAAAACACCTACATACACCATGGACATATTCAAGCACTAATTTCATATA